GATCCACGCACGTCCTCATCCTCCATCGTAGAGGCCGATTCAAACGAAGTCAGAAACAGCAACTCCAATGGATTTTCAAGTGCAAGTACAGCCAGAATTCTAAAGCAAGCCAGGATTCTAAAGCCACTTAAGAAACTTAAGCGAAAGAATCCAGTGAAGAGAGACAAGAAGGGAACTCCTCCTCAGGATGCTGTTCCGTCCATGAAAGGCACAGCAATTTTTAGCGGTCCTCACAAATACAGTTACGAACTAAGAACTTTGTGCATTCCAGGAATAAGGATGCATGGCTGYAGCAATGCAGCAAAGAAAGAAAATGGAGGAGAGCATCTGCATGATACCATCAGGGGTAGAAGATACGTTAAGTATGCGGCAGCGTACGCTGAAAAATCGATTTGTGATTATGCAACCGTAATTGCTGCGGGCGCTCCGCCTGATATTACCCACCCCATTGGCGGCAAACTCATTTCTGACGAGTCCTCATCGAGAGCCAAACAATGCAAAGCTGCAAGTGCATCTGGCTCGCCTGTACCGATGCTAGACCTAACAGAGCACTTTAAGTTTGAAGCCATAGTGGTTGAAAACAGTGTGCATTACAACAAGTTCAGCATGAGAGTTGCTGATCAATTTAAAACTGAGGAAGATACGAGGGTGTTTCACTTGATTCTGGCAGGCTTAGTTGCTGATACGGTTGCGTATCTCGAAGACATGAACGGTGAACCCTACGCGATCCAAAGCACTAACGGTCCTGATCTATTGCACGAACTAACATTCAACAAAATTGAAGTCCTCTCTGAAGACGATGAAGAAAGGAGCGCTGAAGAAATCGCAGAGGTCTTTGGAGGTTCTGAGGGTTCTGCTACATTGGTCGAAGAGACCGACCCTCGTGCTATAGATATTTATGACACTAGAGCTTTTAATAAGAGCATAGCTMTACCAAAGAAATGCAACAAGAAGAGTCCGATATGTCTGAAGGTTGACTTTGACWTAGACACAGGCCTGTCCGACTTTGCCGGGACRTCATTCGATCTAGACTTTTACTTGAATGGTAAAASTGATGCCTCCGGTTCATTGACGACTAGCTTGACAACTCAAGGAATGCCGGATCCAAAACTCTTAACAGCAGCCGCAAATGCCACAGGCTGCGTTRTTGATGGTATACAATCGAAATGGGTCACTTTGGATGYTAAAGCTTGTCTTAAAGGAGAATTCAAATATAATGCTACCGCCGGGGATTCGTCTCCYGCCAAACAAACATACGAAGTCGAATTGATACTCTYAGGAAGTKYAAAAATTTGGAAATTTGGTCCGTCAATAAAGGAGACAGCGTCTGTWAAATTAAACGCCGWGAGTGYTRATGGAAAGGAGTATTTTACTGGGTATCACGGAGAGGTGATGGACCATGTTAATTTCGTAGYTGCCCATGSTTCCTTCGGCCTAGGAGTCGACTATGAAGTATCAAGCTGGAAATATTACCACGACAAAAAGAAATGGACAACCAAATTTTACGGTAAAGTTGACTATAAAGTTTTATGGCATCATGGAGCGTTTACACACGTGTTCTCTTGCGAACCTCACTCCAGTAAACTTTGTCAAAGCTCCGATAATAAAAAACACAAAAGCATCGACGACAGCGTCGCTGCMACCACGATTCAAAGTAACACATTGAAACTCGGTGAAAAACTCCCTTACAATTACTTTCTTTCAAGCCCAAACGGGCAGGTCAGACTTTGGATGCAGGCAGACGGAGACTTGGTTGCCTACAACGACACCGATCCCATGTGGTCCTCGTCCACGAGCGGCGCGTCCGTTGGTTTCGCTCAGCTCCAAGACGATGGGAACTTCGTTCTAACAGGATACGACGATGTCGAAGAAAAAATTTGGCAATCGCACACTGGCCATCAAGACGCTGATCAATTGGTAGTACAAGACGACGGGAAGATTGAAATCCTTAGCGCATCGGGGTCGGTCATCTGGTCCATACCTTAGACAAAAGAAAGAAGTAGAACGAATCAGTCGTCGTCACCCTCACCAAAAGCATCATCGCTGTMATCAGCCTCAGCTTTGGTACCAGATCGTTGCATTTCGAGAGAGACCGGTGCACGGGAGAATTGCCCTCATTCTAGTATGCTTCCCAGGCTAGACACCATCACGAGTTCTCTATATAGTTAATTTTAAGTATTTCAATAATAATAAATCTTGTTTTAGTGTTTTGTTGGCTTATTATGGACAAGGTATCCCGCAAAGCACTGGGGYAATCAACAAGAAACAGATTGTTTCATTCGTAGTGAGAGGAGAGGTACCCGTCCACTAGCTCACTTTTTCGAAAGCACGAGRTACGAAAGAAAGGCTTGTCAGTGAAGTGGTCTCTGCAGGATACGATCCCCTGACGATGCCTACAATTTTTTAAAATATAGAATAGATGCCATCGCATTCCCTGCTTCACGCATTACTACGAGCTGCCATTGTCCCCGTCAAGATGGCGTTGACTGTATTGTGGTGYTATTTTACAATGCCAATGGCGTYTGAACTATGGTACCCCGTGTCGGTCTCGTTGCCGCTGCGTGCGCGGACGCAACCGTCGGTTGCGCTGCATCGGTGGCTCAATTGGTAGCAACAGAGGGCAGCCCATCGCCATGGAAGAGCACGCAACCGGACACAGCGCAGCCAGGCACACCACGGCCGATGCGCGTGGGCGCCCGTCGTTCCTCCGGCCCATCGATCRCGAACMCTGCTCGGCAGAAACGGCGTGTCTTGCACTGTGCTCGGATCGCCGATCCATCGGCACCAACGCCGGTGGATCCCTCCCCCCGAGCACGTCAGTCGATCAGCCGGAGCCCGGAAATGGTGGTGGTCGTTTCGGCCAGGAGGTAGGCGTCGTCCCGAAAGGGCCCGGTTTCCAGCAACCGGAGCAGGAGGGTCTTCCGCAGGGCGACCGCCTTTTTCCACTCAATGGCTCCGATGACCAGCCTCGCCATGGCCTCGCGCTGCCCGGTCGTCCAGGGTGCGTCCCGGCCCGTGCCGCTGTCCCCCTGTTCCACCGGAGCGCCGGTGCTGCTGCGGTCCCCCGGCTCGGTTTCGCTCCCGGCGGGCTCCGCTGTTTCTTCCTCTCCCTTTTCTCCGGCGTTCCCCCGCATCAGCGACGCCAGTCGGGCCTGCTTCCACAGCCGGGTGTTCCACTGCCAAAAGGAGGTCTGCTGCTTGAGCAGGAGGTACTCCTTCTTCATGGCGATCGCGCAGCGGGACCAGCCCCCGCACTCGTCAAAGACGGAACGAAAGAATCGGTTGGTGCACCGCAGGGAACGGATCGTGAAGAGGTCCACGCCGCCGTGGACCTCTCGGCATCCGCTCTCGGAAACCCGGTCGGGGCAGCTCGTGCAGGTCGTGCCGGTGCTRGRCCTTGAGGCGGCACGCACGGCGTTCGGTGAGTTGGGAGGTGCCCCGAATCCTCCGACGCGGTGCCCGGAGCCGCCGGCTGAGGCTCTCGCGGTCGTGCTGTTGGCCGAAGGTTTCTCGTCAAAGTGCAAGAAAAATCCCCAGATGTGCTTGCCAATGTCTTCGTTGATGGATTCCATCGTTTCCACCAAGCAGGGCGTGGTTCCTGTCGGAAGCACCAATCTATAGGGTGGAGGAAAAGAAGTACCTCGACGTCGACGTTGCTGTCTTTAGAGCAGCCGTTGAAGCAGCAATAGAGATAAGGAACACTTGCTTCGTTCGTGGYTTCTTCTTGGCCTTCCAGGGTCGACGACAAAGGAATCGTTTGGTTTCTGATGGGTGGATGTAGTCTATTGTGCCATACCGCAGTTTAATGTACCGCAGATGCTGTTGTTTCGGATTGTTCTTTGTACCGTACAATACGTACTAGTACCCGTGTGTCGCTTCCAATGGATCACCGGTATCGGCGGCAGAAATTATCCAAAACTACCCTCTGAGGTACGTACGTGTTCTACCTGCTTCTACTGAACCCATGTCGTATTGTACCATGCACATCCCAATGCGATCGACGACGACGAATGGAACGTTTGATTTTCAAAAATGGTTCTTTTTCGAGTTTTTGTGGGGTTCTTCCTGCCAAGGAGAAAGGCCTCAGGTCCACACCAACCGACTCACTCGATCAATTCTCTAACTGTCAGATCTCAAAACCTGAGCGTACGTACTCCTACGTATTGTACGGTATCCCACCATCGCGAATACGATTAATYCTCGCTCTCTTAGCACCGTGATTATTATTTTTGGAAGCCCGAATCACTCTTCGGTACAGGGACCTACTGTAGTTTRGTAGCTTACTGTACGGTACTGTAGTTCATAATTGGTTCTCTAAGAACCTAAAAACAGCACGTGTGTGTTTGTGTATTAGGGCCTTGCGYTTGGCGCGCCAAACTCTTATGCGTGCTAAAAAAAGTAATCCTACGGCACGGTAACACCATTGGTTCTTGATGGGTTTTGGCCTGTCTGCGTAAACCATACCGTAGGGTAGGASCAAGAGCCTAGGAGTAGAAACTGAGGCCTGCTCCAGAGACACACACTCAAGCCTAATCGTTAATAGAAACATCCATTTACTTAACAATTTGTTTTAGCCTATTTTTGATCCCGTCGCCATCAGGCCTTATCTAAATAAAAAAGATTTTTTCTGGCATMACGCGGGGGTCTGTTCTTTCGCAGGAATATTCACTGATTTACGTGCCCAACGCCAAGAAAGAAAATCCGATCTTTTTTGGTTCTACGGGTGCTACATGCTGCAGGCAGCATCCGTACCGGTATGAGGTTGTGTCTTTCCAGGGAGCGATTGACACCAGCCATCTGTTTTTGGCCGTCCGTCTGTTACCGAACCGCACGCTCTTGCCGATCAAGCGCGGCATGCGGCATGCGGCATCCATGCACTGCTTCTCCTTCCCCAACTTCTGAACGGTTCTCATCGTTCGTCTCACAATTTGGTAGAACAACACAACTGCCTTTGCACCCGCATCGACCTTGCAGATCCATCGCAAGCTCCGTTCTCAAGACCTCACCAAACCAAACCAAACCAAACCTTTCTTCTCTCCCGTACTCCCACCATGCGCACCACCACCGCAGCATTCCTAGCCGCAGCAGCAGCGTCGGTCGACAAGGGCTTCTACGCGAACGCCGTTGTCACCATCGAGGACGCCCAGGCCTGCAACGCCGACGTCCCCGCCATCGACTTCCTCGTCCTGGAGGGAGAYGCCAACGCCGAGGCCATCGAGGACGAGGTCCGCGGGGACCTCGAGAAACTCGGCTTCAAGGTCGAAACCCGCATGCTCGGCAAGAACGACTTCAACCAGGCCCGGGCCAGGGGGGACTTTGGGCTCTCCTTCAGCGAGACCTGGGGGACCCCGTACGATCCCCACTCGTACGTTTCCGCCTGGGAGGCCGAGGACAATGCCAACCACAACGCCCTCGTCAACCTGGACGGKGGTGCCTCTCGCGAGGAGCTCCTCACCATGATCGAGGACACGCTCCAGGAAGAAGACATGGCCGTGCGAAAGAGCAAGTGGAAGGACGTCCACAACTACTACCACGAGCAGGCCATGATGCTCCCGCTCTGGGGGCGTCGCGTGGTTGCCGTGATCAACAACCGGCTGGGGGGATACGAGCCCGGCCACCAGCAGTTCGATTTCCCGGTTCACAAGCTCGTGCCGCTGGAGGGCAGCACCACGGTCACCATTTCTCCCGGAGCCCTGACGGGGCGCTTCGAGACGGTCGGAAACCTGGATCCCCACACGTGAGTACACCCGAAACCCGACCGAGGGCGGGATGGATGCTTGGCGGTTGGATTCACCGTTAAATCGATTCGTTCACTGATGGATTGCGCATTACAACGACGCTCACTTGTTCCGGTATTGTTGTACGTTGCAACCTTCTGATCGGCGTTCTCGTTTCAGCTACAACCCGAATGAGTTCTTTGCCAACAACTGGGTCTATGAGGGACTCGTCCAGTACGGACCCGAGGGCGAGATCCTACCGGCCCTCGCCACCTCCTGGGAGGTGGAAGACTTTGGACCGGGCTCAAAGTACACCTTTCAGCTACGAGAGAACGTGACCTTCCACGACGGGGCGGCATGGGACTGCACGGCCGCCATTATGAATTTCGACCACGTCCTGGCGGGGGCCCTCAAGGAACCCGTCTGGCACGGCTGGTATGGGGTGCCCAAGTATCTCGACTCGTGGGAGTGCAGCGATATGGAGCTCACCCTTACCACCTCGGCCAAGTTCTACCCCTTTTTGCAAGAGCTCACCTTCATCCGTCCCCTCCGCTTTTTGTCGCCCAACGCCTTTGCCGAGGGCCCCGATTCCGATCCCTACACGGCCAACTCGTGCGAGCGAGGGTGGGGAACCCTCGAAGCCGAGGACACCACCCAGCCGGACGTGGTCTGCGCGGGAATCTCCAACATTTCTGGAACGGGGCCCTTTGCCTTTGTCTCCCGAGAGCAGTCGATGCTGACGACGATGGACTTTGACGAGACCCGGGTCGACGACGTGGTCGAGTTCGCCGCAAACAAGGACTGGTGGGGCGGAGCCCCCGCCATCGAGACCCTCAAAGTGRTCCGCTACGATGACTCGGATGCCATCCAGGCYGCMCTCCTGGACGGGAGCCTCGACGTCATGTGGGGGGACGGCGTCCTTTCGTCGAACGCCATTACCGAGCTGGACCAAAAGCGCAGCGAGAACCCCCACCTGAACGTCTTTATCGGGGACGACATCCAGAACGTGGTTCTCTTGCTCAAYACGGGTACCCCCCCGCTCGACGACATTCGTGTCCGCAAAGCCGTCATCCACGCCATCAACAAGAAGGCCCTCATCGAGAAGGAACTCGGTGGTTTTCTGGATCCTGTAGACAACGTCTTTGGCCGCGACATGCCCTACTGCGACGTCGACCTGACCCCCCACTGGGACCACGATCTGGAAAAGGCCATGCTCCTCAGCTGCAACCTGGAAGGGGCCAACGCGCAACAGATCGGAGCCGAGGACAACTCGTCCCTTGCGATCGGCCTCGGTGTCGGCCTCGGTGCCCTGTGCTTGATCCTGCTTGCGGTGTCGGCCACGTTTTTCAAAAAGAGCAAGGACCTGGAGGCCAAGCTGGTCGAGCCCAAGGAAGCGGTTGCCGCCTAAGAGAKTGCTGGGAACGAAACGAGCCCCRCAGACACGAATGGACGGCAGATGATGATTCCTCGATCCYTGGCTTCATCTTGCCGCGTGGCGGTGTATTTCGACGAAGCATTGATTGTTTGGATGTATTCGATTCAATTCGACTTGATTCRCTTTTCTGGAACACCACAGTAGTACCGTGAATGAACGACAAGAATCTCGTCGTTATGATATTTTGTTAATGATGTGACGATGTTTTTACTCTCTAGATCGTTTCAAGCATTCTAGGCTCTTCGTTTCTCACTGCTGTTGTTATAGCACAAAACATCATCCAAATGATTGACTAGGATCCGGAAGATCAGATCGTGCCTTCTTGCGGCCTTGTTCAGAACCCTCGGGAGCAACCCGTGCACAATTTTCGCAGCAGGAACCATCGTGTTCGTGGCCGTCGACCCCTCGCAAAATAATACGCGTTCCCATCCGCGCTCACTCCAGTCCTCCAACTGGTTCAGGCGGTTTGTCCAGGTGTCCATCCGCTCCACTRCCTCGATGTATCCCGCCCGGGAGGCCAGCTGCCTGGCCTTGCGTCCCGTGCGAGACCTCGGATCGCTCCCAGTTCGCTCCAGCAGGAGGTTCACCGTTTGGAGGTGCCCCCACTCGCAGGCCTCCATGAGCGGAGTCGAMGAGTACTCGGTCGGGTCCTTTCGGTAGTCGGGATTGGCGGAGCAGTCGTCAACTAGGAAGCGGACGATGTCCGCGTTTCCGTGGGCACTCGAATACCACAGCGCCGGATCGACCTTATAGTCGTTGACGTAGTCGATGATAGATTGCCGGCAACAATGGTTGCTGCTGTGGTTGCCTACCGTCTCTACCAAAAATGCGGCGACCTCTAGGTGGTCTTCTGTACATGCGTGGATCAGGGCATTCATGGCCTGCTGGTCGTATCGGTACACGTCGGTGCCCCATTTCAAATTCAATGCATTGGCATTGGGTCCTTTTGTGTCGGGACTGGCTGCCTCTTCTTGGCCTTGCTTCAATCGCAGACGCTTGTGGTATACGGATGGCCAAGACCTGCTGTCGGCTGCGAAGGGACACGAGAGTGAACCAGTAGCAGGAGTGCAATCCAGATTGTTGCTTGTGTTACGATAATGGGTGTCATCGTAGTTTCCGCTTCTTTCTTCCTCATCCTCCTCATCAATCTCTCTTGGGAGAAGCAGTAACCGTATCATCTTCAGATCACCTTTTTTGGCCATTCGAATGAGGGGCGTCAGGCCATCGTTCCCGCACACGTTGGGATTGGCACCGTGTTCCAGGAGCAGTTTGGCCAAGTCCAGGTTCCCGCAGTGGCAGGCTTTGGCGAGAGGCGTCATCCCTGGAATCTTGCGGCCATTGCAAGGAACTTCAAGCAGCAAACGAGCGTTTGTGGATGCGAGGATTGGTTCTGAATCCGACACACCCTCGGAAGTTAGAGGTGGTTTGAGACGCTGCGGCTCCAGCAAGCAGCGAACTAGTTCGGTATGCACCTGATACGGTCCGATGGCTGCCGAGAGTGAATTCGCAGAAGTCAACGAGGAGAAATCCGTGACGTTGATTTCAAACGATTGCATCAGGTTGTCTGCTGTTTCTGCTGTTCCTGTGTTTCTGTTCTTCTCGTCGTATTCCTCTTCCTCGAGATCGTCGTTATAGTACTTCGGAGTGGTGGTCCGGAGAACTACGGTTGTTTTTGGAACTTCCACCGCCAGCTTAGTCGACGACAGGAACCACAGTGCGAGCTTCAAATTTCCAACATTCATTTCCTCAATGGCCTTCATCAGCAAGGCTTTCCCCTTTACCACCCTAACAGCCTCGATCCTGCGTTGTACCAAAAGATCTGAGGCCGACGCGGCCGTGTCTTCGAACGTCATTGGATTGAGTGAAGTAGGAAATGAGTGGCTGGGTAATTTTTTTGCGTCAATGCCCTTGCGATTCTTTCTCCTGCTGCTTGGCATCAATTTCTAAGTAGKGAAGCTATGACGATATTTGATCCAAGCATGAGACAGAGGACCGGATTTCTCTTCGAAAGGAACCAGCGAAAGAAGAGATACTGCTGAATTCCCAAAATAGAACGAAAATACGTACATTTCTGAACTTGATGTACCGGTATTGGGTATTGGGGTTTCAAATAATACTACCGTACCAGGTAGTGTGACGTGTGATTCAAGGCTGAGGGAAACATAAATTTTTACATAAGGGGAAGGGGGCTGGTATTTTAGAGCTAATGAGAAATACGGGCCCCATAATGGCAAGTTTTTTGCATTTCCACGGCTGTCAATTTTTTTTCATTTTGCCGTCTTTATTTCCCCTCTCCCCCCCTCCACACACAAAAAACTCCTCCTTTTGTCCCAAAATATTTCTGAAGTCCTTACTACTGGAGAGATAACTCTATTTACTTGAAAATTTCCATTAGTGCTTACTACTGGATAGTCTCAATTAGTAGTACTTTCTAGTGGGGATGCAATAGTACTAGTAGTGAGCACCGCAACCTAATGCTGGGTACTACTACTACTAGTACTACTACTTGTTGTACTACTASTAGTAGTAGTACTAATGTGTATTTCCAATCACAAAATAAAGTAATTTTTACTAATCACACATATACACATTTCTACTAGTTTGTAGTACGGTACTGATTCTATGGATTCTACTACATGGCCATATTTTTGGGGGGTTAGTTAGTAAAACTGTTTGGTGATGACAAGTGTCGTAAGTAGTACTATGTAATTTAGAGGACTTTCAAAATGGACAGGAAAATTGGAGTCACTGCAAGGTCATTCTTGTCTACTACGTACTTAACATTCAGAACATTCAATTTTAGCAACCCCACAGTATTGATTTCTACACAGGCCTAGTACAGTGTTAACATTTTGAATGTTAAATTATCATTTGGAGGAATGTTAACTTACTACTASTAGTAGTAGTAGCTTTCTTCCCACCAGTGTCAAATGAAACAAAAGTTCAATTGTTACTTTATTCATAGTATAGATCTTCCACAGCAGTAGTAATCACTGATATTACTAGTAGATTGGTTGTCCCCCCAAGGGTCTTCCAGAGTGGTGAGGAAAGGAAATGGAGACAGGAAAATGAATGAATGACTGCTATTATACTATTCCTAATAACTTAACAGCCAGCAGCATTGGACTTCTTGTAGATTTAGCTACTACTAGTAAGAAGGGTTGTGTTGTTGTTGATTTTGGACAAACAGCAGTACTATAAGCTGCTCCAACAAGTGCTGGAACAGTAGTATGGTGAGTCATACAAGAAAGGTGTAYGTAAATATTCTTGATATATTCTTGATGTATTCTCAGCCAACCCAAGGAAGAATATAGCATGTAACACCAAGAATAGAACAAGAATAATACACTGCTGGTGCCAATAAGAAAGAATGGGGAATAATCAGAGCATTGAAGGTTTCACTTANTAGTTTGTAGTACGGTACTGATTCTATGGATTCTACTACATGGCCATATTTTTGGGGGGTTAGTTAGTAAAACTGTTTGGTGATGACAAGTGTCGTWAGTAGTACTATGTAATTTAGAGGACTTTCAAAATGGACAGGAAAATTGGAGTCACTGCAAGGTCATTCTTGTCTACTACGTACTTAACATTCAGAACATTCAATTTTAGCAACCCCACAGTATTGATTTCTACACAGGCCTAGTACAGTGTTAACATTTTGAATGTTAAATTATCATTTGGAGGAATGTTAACTTACTACTASTAGTAGTAGTAGCTTTCTTCCCACCAGTGTCAAATGAAACAAAAGTTCAATTGTTACTTTATTCATAGTATAGATCTTCCACAGCAGTAGTAATCACTGATATTACTAGTAGATTGGTTGTCCCCCCAAGGGTCTTCCAGAGTGGTGAGGAAAGGAAATGGAGACAGGAAAATGAATGAATGACTGCTATTATACTATTCCTAATAACTTAACAGCCAGCAGCATTGGACTTCTTGTAGATTTAGCTACTACTAGTAAGAAGGGTTGTGTTGTTGTTGATTTTGGACAAACAGCAGTACTATAAGCTGCTCCAACAAGTGCTGGAACAGTAGTATGGTGAGTCATACAAGAAAGGTGTAYGTAAATATTCTTGATATATTCTTGATGTATTCTCAGCCAACCCAAGGAAGAATATAGCATGTAACACCAAGAATAGAACAAGAATAATACACTGCTGGTGCCAATAAGAAAGAATGGGGAATAATCAGAGCATTGAAGGTTTCACTTACTAGTGGCAGCTCAAAAGAACAAGAAGGCTTTGTTCATCACAAATAAMATACATTGTTAAATACAGTGTTGGTTTGTAGTGACAATACCAGATTCTACTGGTAATTCCCAATGTGTGCTTGTCCGCTAGTAGTGTATTTTCTGCTGTACTACATACAACTCCTGCTGGTAGTACTAGTTCATGCTGTCCATAGGATATCAGACTGTGGGTATGATTTATATATATGACATATACATATTACACGTATCTATGATTCATACACACCATACATATATGACTCACTTGATCCTATSGATCCATACAATCAACATGATTCAGTTCATTCACTTGCGTGAGTGACTGGACTCATTCGATTCACACATCACTCGATCTTCATTCTGATTGGTCTTAGATTYCATAGTTTGTCAATTCTTGATAAGAGCATCAACTCACTTTTCTTCTAGCACACGATTTACATCACTATTAGATACTCACTCCCACAGTTCAAGAATGAATCAAGAATAAAGCAAAAAATAAATGAAGAATGAAACAGAAATAGGCAGTACTAAACAGTGAATAAATAGGGAAGTAGAGCCAATTCTCTATCTATTCTACTTCTACTCCTGATTACACCTACTGGATACTCTAGTAGGTGGTGCACAATCACTTCAGTCTATTGTTGATTTCCCACCAAGTACTGTACTTCCAACTGTACTTAGCCTGTGTTGTTGTAGCCTTGTCTTTCCGTCTTCTGTACCGTACCTTTCTGCTGAGGTACCACCACATTAGGCCTCTGAACACTAGGGCCTCTGTGCCTTGCTGGTGCTACCGTACCTTTGTTACGTCATATGTAGCATACATGTATTCTAGTACTGCTGTACTAAATAGATGGATAAAAGGTTGCTGAAATTGAGATTTGACTACTACTAGGACTTAGATCTAGGTATGAGGGTTAATAGTCTAATATTGGAATGGTTTTATGGTTTTGTGGTTCTGATTCAATGTATTACTGTTGGTTGCAACAAATTTACTCCTGTGTTAAAGGGCAGGGAATGGGGTGAATCTTACTTCATAGTAGTATTCCTTTACCTTAGAGTCTCATCTCACAATGGTATCTTGTTGCTGCAATACTTCAAGAATGATGACAAGGCTGTTTGTTAGTTTGGTGAGCAAGTAGTTTGACAGTTTTGGGTCTTTGTTGTCTTGCATTTGTCTGTCACTCACAACTATCTCATAAATTTATTCTTGAGGCTGTAGAATGCAGTGGCAATAGAATGAGAATAAATGAAAAATAAATCAGGAATGAATATACTAGAACAAAAAGAAAGTAATAAATGATCTTTTACAACCACCAAATGGTTGAGCATATACACACAATAGTTGCTCTACTTTGTATGCTCCTCCAAATACTATTGGTACTACTAACAACTACTGTAATACTTTGTAATAGTAATTGCATTAATATTGTGATAGATTGCACAAATACTCAAGATGGTTTTTGTTGAGGTTGGGAAGGAATACTATTGCAATCCTGGACTGCACAAATGTCAAGCATTATACCAGCATTGATGAAATATCTGGAATTTTATAGAAAATAAGATATCCAAGCTTATAGCAGTCAGTAGTACCATTGGCTGATGATTGAGTAGTTTTATGCTGATAAGCGATATTGGATGTTTTTTCCTAATACTTTTGGAATTTGACCCATGTGGGGGCTCGAAGACTTCTCAAAGGCTTTGACTACACGTTGACAGAGCGGTCTTTGGAGTTTACATTTATAATTAGTAACGTGAAAGCTCTTTTGCTTAGTTTGAGTGTCGTGATTGAACACTGCTACTACGGTGCAATACCATAAAGTTCCCTGATATTTTTTGAGGCATATTGTGCCACCACTTGAGCTGTGACTTCCGTCATGGGAGGGTCTCCTTCGCCCGTTGACAGCACAATGTTTCCCGACTTTCCATATAAGTATTGATATGCATTTTGGCAGGTCCTTGGGTTTTTGGTGGCTTGTTTTGCAACCGCCTCGGCCACGAAGGGAATGTGCCCGGGATGACAAAAGGCTCCCCGACCAACATGTTTTGCGACGGCGGATGGTATTGCAGATGGTCCTCCCGTTTCGAGCAGCAATCGGTCCAGTGGAACCTCAAAGGCGCACTCATGCAAGTGGGTGGCCTTGGAAAAAGTTACGTGTCMATCGAATCCAAAATAGAGAAGGTTACTGTTTTGGTTGCTTTTGTTGATCCTAGAAGTAGAAGAAATAGGAATTGTCATTGTTGCCGGGAATGCCTTCAGAAGTGCCATCATGTGTTCGGCTTTTCCGTTCCAGCAGGAGATATGAACCTTCCAAGGACGAGAAGAATACGGAGGAATGCTCGTAGCGTTACAACTCTGATTCATATCATTTTCTGATGATGAACAGTAGCACGAGTGTTCCAACAAGACTGTTGCAAGATCACGAATGGCTTGCAAATATGCGTCCAAGGCTTCTCCAGTTTCTGCTTCCACTCCATCTGTACGTGAGCGATTGTTGCTGCTATGTTTGCTGTTAGCATTGCCACCATCGCATCTATCTTTGTTGAATCCCGGCAAAATACGAATCTGCACAGGGCAATCAAGTTTCGCTGCCGCCTTGAGTGTATATCGGAGCCGCTGCAATTGGAGTTGGCGGCAAGATTCGTGATCGTTGCTATTGCTATAGCTATCACAACAGGAATGGAAACTGTCCGGAGGGCCGTCTTGTTTTCGGCATGCGTTGGAATAATCGAGATCGGCAAACAATCCAACAACATCGTTATCGTGCTCCTGTACGATTTGGGCCAGACGATTGACAAGGGAGTGCTGTGGCTGTTGCTCCGCGTTCTCCGATTCCCTCTTTATCAATGTTGCTGCAATTTCTGAATCGAAGTCGGGTCCAAACCCGACCACAAAATACACGAGCGGGGAGCCGTTATTTCCATAGTACTCAATGTTGTTCTCGCATCCAAAAGTCTGAAATGGAAATGAATTGTATGGTGTCCATTGCTTGTCGGTATTACTAGTAACGCTACTTTCGTCATTGCTACCAATTGGCCGAATCAAGTCCGACGGAGACAAATAGCACCGGGCGATACAGCCGCCAAAATTTGTAGTCTCCAGGACACGTGCCATGGTGGATTGATATTCACCAATAGAATCCTCCAAAATACGTTTTTCTTGTTCATTGTTGCGGTGATGAGGATAATGTTGGTTGCGGTGTTGACCATTGCAATACTTGTTACCGTGGCGACCAAAGCAAAGATAGTCCAAAACCGTTTTGCCGTCGCCCATTCCGGCATCTACAAAGCGAAAGGAAGAGGATTGCCGATCCCCAATCCTATTGGAAGATGACGGCAATCCATCACTAATACTGAGCAATTGCTTGCTGCTAGTAGTAGCTACCTGACAGCTTTTCTCAAATCCAGACGGGAAGGCGAGAGCATTCCCAAAAATGACGCTATTTTTGCTGCTATGAACTTTCTTGTGATTACCAACTCCAGAAATCCCACACTTATTGTCAGTCAGGTGATAGGAACTGGTGTGTCGCTGTTTATCTGCGGATGCCTTTCGCTGGAGTTCTCGCTGCTTGGCAAAGCTTGAATTCTTGCTCTTGTGATTGCCTATTTTATCGTTGTTTTTGTTGCAACTACTTTTGCTGCTGCGGTCTTTCTTTTTCGATGAAATCGCATCATAATCGGTGGAAAATAGGTGTGGCGAATGCAAGTGTCGATGCTCCTTATGTGCTGCGTTGTTGTCGTCATCGTTAGCAACATTTGCGTCGTCTCGATCTTCTGTTTTGGAATTCTTTCGACGGCGGCGGCGTCCTTTGTTCTTGCTCATATTTTAATGGTTGTTGATATTGTTATACTTGCGATTGTTTTACATTGGTCATCGTGATTATGTCATGGTTAATGTTAAAACTTTAGTTATCAGTCGGTACGATTCTCTGGTTGTCTGGATGATGGACGATAGCCTTATTCGATAACCTGAGGGCACAAGATGTCTAAGTGCGCGTAATTTTTTAACAGAATCGTGGGTTCCTGTACCGGGACSTGTAATGCTATGAGGCGTCAAGACAATTTTATGAAAGAAAAAATCTTTTGAAGTTGACACCGGCTTCCAAGCAGAGCTTCACTGAATCTTAAATACGTAAAATGTACCTACCGTTGCGTACGCGCAAGCCGTTCAAATACAGTAAAAGTGTATTCACTCAATCTAAGAAAATTATGAAAATGGGGCCATCCAAATATCTTCTGTTGCAGAACGAACAGACAAAGGTACATAACAATTCAAACTAGTTTTAAGTGTTTTAATTGTTATTTTGTCTTCTTAAAATAAAGCAGTAATGATTACATTACTACCAGGACTCGTACCTAGAAAGTACCACTGATACTCATTAACCGTTAATTGATTTAAACCATCATCAATAAATTGCGGAATAATTGGGAGTGTCACCGTTACAGCACTGTGGCACTAGCATTAATCTTCGTACAATGCACTGTAGCACACAACAAAGGAATTGGAACCTACTTCAGCCCTTTATCGAGAACGTTCTTTCTTTTGCTTGCATGTTAAAAAAATAAAAAATGCTTCACGATGCGCCCCATGTTTCAAAATCGACTTCACCCACACAAGGCATCATACTCGTGATCCAGCTTTACCCTCACAACAATACCGTACACCAACAGYCCGTGCACTACTGAGACATCGAAATCGAACCAGTTGATTTCCTGTCTAAAGAAGCGAATGATTAGTTCAATGCCAAAAGGCATGGCGTGCGATAGCGACAGCGTCTCCGATGAATCCTCTAAAGTACGARCATGGTGCGAAAACGAAGGGAGCATGTTCAACATCGTCGGCTCCAACCCCGATTGGAGCTCGGATCGCCGTGACACAATCAAGTGGATCATGAAGGAAAAGAAAAAGCGAGACCGATACCCTCTTTCGAAAGACATTTACGCTTTCTTTTTCGTGGCCCCGGTTTTCAGCGTCGAATATTTCTTCTCCCTCTACGTAGTCGCCCTCAAGTACACCGTCTTCGCGATCCTCGCGACAGACATTCGGTTCGATGCCATTCACGATGAGAACAAGGGAGCAACGGCGGCCAAGTTCTTTCTGATTCCGGTTGCAATTGCCATGCAAGACGATCTGATCAACAGCTACTTTTTCTTTGGAAACGCTATCTATTGCAATTCAGCACTTGCTTTCAGCAAGCACGCGACTAAAAAAAAACTCGCCTTCAGCTTTCTGTTGAGAACAGTCGATGGCTTCTTTAGCCTTGCCGTAAATTTTGGCGTAATGGTAACGACTGACACGACCCTCGGGGTCTTTCTAAACTTTGCTGCCCTGAGCTTTTTGCAGTCGATCGACGACGTATTTTACGAACTGGTGATGCTGGGATTTTTTGGTGACAGGATGGAACACATGGCATCTGTCTGTGCCGAAATCACTTTTCGCCGTCGGTCTGGAAACGACAATAATAAAATATGTGGCTTGCTGCGGATCAGCCATCTTGACACGATCCTTTTTTTGGTTACCTTGTTGATATGCCTCGTGATCTATATCTACATGACGCTTCGCATATACGGCTACTTCGACGAAGATCCCCCCGACGTTACCAAATCGACCAACAAGACCATCTTGTTATATTAGACCTTTCAGTATGAACCTATTCGAAACTAAAACACGAGACCAACCTAAATTCATAACTGATATTGTTTTTAAAATGATAAAAAGTACTGCTTGTGATGCATCAAACGAGCATCCATTCTAGAGATATTTTTTCGTTTGGGATTTTGTACATGACTGCATGTCGTAGCATTGCTTCAAAAAGTAACTTGGTGAGATGCGATATTGAGAGCAAGCGAAAAACAAAGCGTGCACTCTTGTTCCTTGTGGTGTACCATCGTCGATGACCAAACAATCTGTATTTTTCGGATTTCACAGAGATGATGCTACCGAATCATAACTAGTGCCTATCGCTACCGTACCTCTATCCTTAGATACGGCCAAAATCTCAGTTGTAAGCAGGTGATGGCGATATTGAACATGTAGTCAGTAACAACACAATAGCAAACTCACTTAATGTTTTTCCCTCCTTTTCCTAAAATTTGCGCAATTTCTTTTCTCCATATTAATGCTTTTGAAAAACTAGAATATACCAATCCTCCAAGGGATCCTTGTTTCGTTTGATAAAGGAATGTTCGCAAAATCACTCACTACTTCTCTTACCGCATACAKCTACTCTCGCACTTTAAAGAATGACAATATAGAAGTGACACTAAAATGAAGATCAATCCGCTTCAAACAATAATTTATAATGTTGAATAATCATGCTACATTTGCACCGTGTGCTTAAACTCCAATTAAAAGTTCCAAGGACAGAGCTCTTTTTTTGAGGTTGTGGCAGGTTGCTTCAATTGTCGATACGTGGGCAACTTCATAGTTGTAATGTGATGTGTTCTTTGATAGAAGGGGACCCGTTGATTTTCTTACCAGAGGTAATAGTGTGGCTAGCCATCACTACTGAGTCAGCGAGAGCTCAAAAATTACCCACCTAACTGGTTTCAGTACCACATATGTTGGTATGAGCTGGAGGTTTATGAGCATCGTGTTTACACCAAATGGTATGTATTGGCTTCATTCCTCAATATGATCGTAGGTGTCGTTTCTGGCTCTTGGAGGATGTCTTGTGGAAACTTTTGTAGCTCTTGCCACTCTTGGAGCTTTTTCCACTCTTGGAGCTTTTTCCACTCTTGTCACTCTTTCCACTCTTGTCACTCTTATCGCTCTTACTGTTTTTCCCGCTCTTTCTGCTCTTGATTTCCATCGTTTTCGTCGTGCCTCCTGGGATACCAGCTTCCCTAGTGAAGGCGAGATTTCCATCTGATCTAATGTAGGGTTCCACATCATAGCAACCATCGGAGTTACTCTGGCACCATGGTCCCTTATTAAAGGGTGGCGTTCCATTGTCTGCCAACGGTGGTGTGGTGCTACTGTTGTCGTTCTCCGTGTTCTGTTTGTGGTTCGGACAGGAGGTACGACGGAACATGTGAAGGGTAGAATCCTCGCCGGCGTCTTCGTGGCTGCTCAAACTTGCTGCCCAGCTTCCAAGGCATTGGTTGAAACTATTGGCCATAGAAAACATATGTTTCATGTTGGTGACGGACGAGATATCCCAGAAGCGGTCTTTGTTCTTATCTTTCTTCTTATCCTTGCTACTGCTTCCTACCAAATTAAATCCAGGCGTTCTCGTCTTCGTTGTACTTTCTAATGGCTGATTGAAGGCCTTGGCACCAGAAAACATGCTGGCCATATTTGTCACACTCGACACATCCCACGAGTCGAGGGGTTGGTTGAATGAATATGCATTTCGGAAGGTGTACTGCGTATTGCGTACGCTAGAAGTGTTCCATGACGAAAGGTCTTGGTCGAAAGTATTTGCCTGAATGAAGATACCATACAGGTTCTCGACAGATGAGACGTCCCAGTATCCGATGGGATGATTGAAACTGCGTGCTGCGAAAAACATGTTGGACATATCGGTGACACGACTCGTATCCCAGCCTCCAATCGGCCCGTCAAATAGCCGGGCTACACTGAACATCAGGCTCATGTCTGTCACGCTGCTTGTGTTCCAATTTGCGATTGAGTGCTGGTGGAAGGAGGATGCGATGTAAAACATTTGATTCATGTCCGTGACTTGAGAGGTATCCCACAACCCTATGTCTTGGTTGAAACTGCTAGCGTACTGTTGGTCGTGTACGATGTGATAAGTTATTGGGTTACGTCACATGAATTCAAGAACAACTGAAGATATTAGTGATGGTTGTTCTGAGGGCAGAGACTGACTGCCGGCGCGAAAAGCACAGGACTCGGCGGATAAGCGCGCAACCCATGGCACGACTAACTATACTATCAAAAATTAATTCATCGAACACAACAATTGAGAACGTACCTCGAACATTTCGGACATGTCCGTGACACTCGAGGTGTCCCAGCAATTCAATCGCCAATTGAACTTTTTCCGTCCCGCAAAGGCTTCTGACATATCGGTGATCAGAGATGTGTCCCAACAGTTCATCGGAATACTCAGATCGATCGGACACCACGAAGGATACGAACTCAAACCCCAGCTATATATCATGATATAGGAATCCATGCACAAGCTGAGTAGTTCTGTGAATGTTGAAGGTATTTGCGTCAAATTCTGCTGGTTGTCAATTAGATCCTGACCAAGCCGGACCAGAGGTCTACCGAAATCTTGGCAGTAAGATTCGCATTGGTCAATGGTAGTGGGCGTTTCCTCGTTGAAATAAGTGCCCCGGTCCATCGAATACGGTGGTAGATTGTCCCAGGCTTCGTCGTTGTTCCTATGGTCATTATTCAAACTGCTGCTTTGGCCGCCTGATTCTACTCCGAAACTAACGCTGGATTCTACTTGGAGATCTCGGAATCGGCTGTGAATCTTTTGGAATGCCTGATTGTTCTCTTTTCTACTATTATGGTGAAAAAAGTTTCTGTTATCAACTAGATGGAACGTGCCATCATCGTCGATGCCCTGCCAGTAAGACGAATGTAGTTTGGCTCGGGGATAGCAGATTCCCAAGGCTGCATCGTCGTTGAGGATTTCGTCATCCGTGTTAGCATATGCTGAGGACAACGAGAGCGCATCATATCCAATTACGTTTGGTAGAATACAAACGTCATCATTGGAGGAACAAGACCTCGTCTTTCTACCAAGGACACCCAGATCTGGGTTGTGGGAAGACGACGACAATAAGTGGCAGGTCTCGAATATTTTCTTCTGAGAGAGTGACTTTGTTTCTTCTGCAAATTCTTCGCCCCCATTCACAAGTTTCTTCAACGAATGCTTCGGAAGTGGTGAAAAAGCGTGGAGCGTTTTCATGTGGTTGTTGCTACTCTGAATTATGTTGTTCGATCCTGCAGTGTTAGTGCTGACATTCCTCGCATCGTTGGTTTTGTCGGCTGCCGACGATGTGGTTACGATTCCTCCACCTACGGCCGAAGCCAGTGCAAAAGCCGAAAGTCGCATGATTGCTTCCGATTATATCGCTTTGGTTCTCTCTCTTGTGCACAGTAGCAATGGAAAGAGCTCTCTGGAGTAACGATAATCGTCCTGGTTTGCAGTTCCTGCGATATCGTTCCGTTGATATGTTATTATTGGATGATTTGGGGACGTCTCGACGCAACGAAGTGAGAGGGGTAGCTCTGTGAAAGATTAGCGACCATCTTTCAATCATAGTCATACCGTACATTACGTTTTCATCGTACCTTTGCTGCTTCTGCCGAGTTCTTCAAAATCTCCGTGTCTTGGACAATCGGAGTGAGAAAATGTGTCGTATGCAACGCTAGAAAAGGTAACATTAATCACCAGCAAACAAAAAACAAAATAACGTTAAGTGGCTCAAATTACAGTGTTTGGTAAAAGTGTTTTTGGTCACTTGCTTGTCGGTAACAACTCTCACTAAACACCCTTCGTAGATACTGTATGTATGTGCTGCATATTACTGTACATTACTGTAGTACCGTAGGTACAGTACCGTACGAACGTATTTTTTCGAGTTACGACTTCAACCGAAACCGCTCCAAAACAGTTCAGCACTTACGAAAAGTTGAATCGAGTGAATCAAACGGCAAAATAGTGTATTTTAGTGTACTCGTACGTACTCGSACTGTGAGACTAAAAGAATACTTCTATTCGGTTTCTACGCAGAACTACCGTACTGTATCATGTAGAAAGCCCACAAGAATTGTTACGCCCTCGCGCATTTGAACTATCCTGTATGTACTGTATTTAACAGGTTATTTACATGATCATAAAACCATTTTGATGTTTGCTTTTGTAGAACGGTCATCGTCGTCCAGCTTGGACATGAGTTTCCTCCCAAGTATGGAATACGTGTGTTTTGTTAGTAAATTAGGCGAGTTTGCAAATTTAAAACTCAAAACTCATTTCAAAGTATCTACGTGTACGTATATTAATAAATTGTTATTTAGATGGAAATTGCTAATAATCCCACTCTCAAGAAAATGATTATGCGTATAATATTTGTCGTACCACACGACTGGGTCTTACAAAATGTCCCAAAAATCCAGGAACAATTCCAACGATGTCCCGCCATCGTTCGACTAGTTTGTCAGAAACGCCAAAAAATTGGAAGGATTTGCACTGATTGCATCATAGGATATGGATRGGACGAAGTGTGCAACCACGCCGAGTCTGGCGATGTGAAGGCAGGCACCTCCTATTGGATCGTAATGTCTGAGGCAAAAGAGGGTATAAGTATTGAATCCGATACTTTTAGTTTAGGTCACTCGGTTTGCTCTTCTGTTGGTCGACAAGCTGTCTTTAAAGTTCATTCCAAGTGACAGACGACGTGCAAMACTAAGACGAACGAACTAAAAACCGGCATCGTAGAAAAGAGAAACAAAGAAAGCAAACAAACTGTCTTTGGACTGAGCCTTCAAGCCTATACCAACGATTGGATTTCAAAAATTCCTGGAAATCGACAACAAAGGGTAAAATAGAAGGCAAGAAAGTCCTCCATTCAAACCGAGACAGTACTGCGCAACACAACAACAGTTCGAACGTCAAAATGGTAGCGAATCGAAGTGATGTACGGGTTGAAACAACCAGGAAATCAATAACAATACGGACCGCGCTGCTGTTTGTATTACTTTCATATGCCATTCCAAGGACGACTGCGACGACGACGACGACGACGACGAGTATGATGGTAACCCTTGCCAAAACAATATTACTCACACCTGGAGCATTGTCACTAGTGAAAACATCATCAGCGTCTGCTACAACACCGACGTCATTGTTGCCAAAACAACGGAATAGCTCCAATAAGAATGGAAATGGTATCAGAAAAGGATTGCAGCGAAGGAAGACCTCAAAGGGGCGACGAAATCTAGCCCGGGGCCAAGAGTGGTACGATTGGAAAGAGCGACAACAACAACAACCTCAGCCAAAAGTGGTATACCATAATATCTTTGACCACACGGGGAATACACCAACAATAGGCACAAGAACAGCGAACGGAACAAATTGTTCTTGCCATGGAAACCGCCGACGGCGCAGGCTCGGCRGCGCAAGCGCCCATTGTGTATGCGACGAAGAAAACAAAGACAAGAACAATAACGTTGGTTCATCTCAAACAAATGGAAAGGGTGGGACCAGCTACTATTACTATTCATATGTTGATGACGACTTCGTCAATGATGACTATTCATACTACTACTACGGCAAAAAAGACAAGAATGGTAAGAAGTCCAAAAAGTCCGACAAGAAAGCATATAAGGGCAAGGGATATAGCTACGATGACGATTATGTCTACCCCAGCCGCAAACCAACTGCCATTCCTACCTCCAGCAAGCCAACTGCCGGTGAACCAACAGCCGCCCCTACTTTCAAACAACCGACACCTGTGGGACGGGAAACTACTGATGCACCCTCCATCTCGAAACCAACGGACTCTCCCACACAGGAGGAACCCATCCCACCGCCTTCCACAAATGATCCGAGCCGCACCAGTTGCAGCGTTGATTCGGATGGCCTGTATGGGGCTGACGTAGGTTTGGCCACCGAGTTTTGGTTTTTCTACCAAGTGTGGGTCATTCCATCCGTCACAGTTCCCGAGCTCAACACGGATATTCTTCCGAAGGTCGAGGTAGCCTCGGGGAACGATGTCCTCCCCGTCCTGTTTCCAAACGAATGTGAGCCCACCGCCACCGCCAGCATGGAAGCTTCGCTACTTGGAGAAAAACCTTCGCCGTCAACCAAGGCCAAACAAAACTCTAACATGAACACGAATCAATACGGTGACGTTACGGTGTTCACTATGGACGATGATGGTGGTGGTTTAGTCCGACACCTACAGTCGTCCTCTTCCTCGATTGCTGGGTTGAGCATCAAGCCACGAGACACTGTTTTACAAAMTGGTATGTGAAAAATATGAAACAACTTTCGGAGCATCGTCATAAGATCGTTGTTCTTCCTGCTCACCAAATCGCTTCTTTTTCCTCTTYCATCTGTCTTCGTTTTGAACATTTAAAAAATTGAAAACAAAATTTGATGTATATTTACATTTCTTTTGAAATTTTCGATAAACACGAAATACTGTGTCATAATGCACAAATCAGATTCATGCCAACAAACTGATGGTGTCCAAGATGTCTTTCCGTGTTTTGTCGTATCTGGGTCCATCACGGTCTTTTCCCAAACAAACCTCGACGAAACCGAGGTCCTTCAGATCGAGAACTCTATTCGCCAAACTTTCACAAACGGAGATCTTGTCGATGCTGACAACCGGATGCTTGATATTTCTTGGTCCGGATTAGATGACGCACGAAACGACAATGCCGTCCCAACCATGTCCCCTTTGTTTCCGCAACCCACCGACTCTCCGGCGGAAACAGATCAGAAGAAAGGATTGCTAGGATTAGGACTCCAATGGTGGGCTTTTGCACTGATAGGGGTCGGTGTCCTTCTCGTTTTGCTTATCATCTGGGTGTGCTTTCGTCGGAGACGGCGACCATCGGGTGCGAGTGTGAGACCGACGGGTGCGAGTGCGAGTGCGAGTGCGAGTGCGAGCCCTTCCAATTCCGTTTCTCCTGTTGATTTATTCCGGAAGAAACCTAGTACTGCCAATGTGTATCAAGAGAGCGAAGGCAGCAACAGCAATCGCAGTAGCAATCGCAGTGAGGGAATCAGCAACAAGGATGAAAGTAGCAGGAGTAGTAGCGGGGGGAGATCATTCGGACACGGTTACGAATATCAGCATGGGGTCGAGGTGGGTGGTAGCACAGACGACGAAGAAGAATACTTTCACCCCTCCAAMGATCAGATCAGCGAGGCACTCATGCCTGATCTAGATGAACCTATCGAAGAAGAACGACCGGAAGATCTCTCGTCACGAGACCAACGTAATCAGTTTGGACATAACCAACAGTACCCATACTCCAACGTTACCTTTGGTAATGCTGTTGGGATGGAAGATACGGCCCCATCCTCTGGAGATATGACGCTAATTTCGAAATCAGGTGGATCTCTCACCGCTGGTGATGCTTCAAGAAGTCCTTCGAGGAGTACCAAGTATTCGAGTAGCGGCGGAACTTCCCAGTCCGGAGCTGCTGTCAATAAACAAGGCGTGGACGACTACGAGGATGACTATGAATACGAGCCGGTGTCTTACTATACCAATGCCACAACTCAATACAACTCTAATCGACAGACTTTGGCTGATGATTCGGAATATGAAGAAGTCGAAGAGGAATACGAAATTGAATACACGTCCCACTCAGACAAACATCTCAGCGTTCATGACGGTGAGCGCGGACTTGGAGTCTTTGAGGAACAATCTACCTACGACGAAGGGGACGAGGAAAATATACAGCGCTACAACACCAAGGCAAGCAGTAAGAGCAGCAAGAGCAGCAAAAGCAGTGTCGGTAGCAACACCCCTCTGCCATTCCTGGCGCACAATGCCCAGATGCAACAAGGGCATAAGAATTCCTTTGAAACACTGCGGAGAAAATGGGAGACTAGCAAAAGCAGTAGCAACAGCAATAGCAACAACACTTCATAGTAAGAGGTCTGCAACATCAATGTTACAGTACTTAATCAATCGGAACGAGCGCGTCAGTTTCGTAGGGGTTATCGGGATATAGGGTCAAAGCGATGATTGGACGGATTTTGTCCAAACATACAATAAATGTGTGGCAAAGAATGGGAATGGTTTTACGTGTCATGATTAAATTAATTGTAATACTAATCCAAGGTGATGTTTTTRATAGTGGATTTCGTATGTCAACCTTTAGGAGCCTGATAGTCAATTATGTCTAATATCTTCTCTTCCTCACTAGAATCGCTTGTTCTGTTCCACAGCAGTTAACAATCTTGGAGAACGGCCTTGTCGCTCTGTTGGAAGAGTCAAAGTTCGAGTGCCGCTTTTTTCTTCTCCTGGAAGAGTCAAGAACAATCCATATACATGGAGAATAGTAGGAGTGCTACTCTCACAGAGAGCTGTTTCTTGTTTTTATTCCGGCAAATAAGTACCATGGGATATCAATCTTGTTTACAATACCCCACAATTTTAGCTCTAAAACTACCAATCTTTCAATCACAAGAAGTCATATGACATCATATTGTGCTGGCAGCAGAAAGTGGTGGTCACTACTTGTTGTATCTACTGATAGTACACCAATAATTTTCCTCCCATTCAATTAAAACTCCACTGACCCTGATGCAATGGAATCAATGATGATAATTTTTGGTGGGAATTCATAGTAGTACTATATTGTTGTTCAATTTGGTAAAACACAGCTTCCCTGTGGTGTTCAAGACAGATTTTCTCTTCATCATTGTCACTAGGAGTGTTTTACTTAGATCACACCATACTACAATTAAAAAATACTACTTCTACTATTCATTCAGCAGGAATCATTGTGTTCAGTGTTCTCCTGATAGAACTACAGCTGTTAACAAAAATTTTGTCAGCATTTCTTTTTCAACATCAGAGTTGCTCTTTCTTCTTTCAAACAATGTAGCAGAACAGTAGTAGTACTAGTACCACTACTAGCTAGTAGTACAGTGACAACAATTCTTGAAATTTAGGTAGTACTAGTACTAGTAGCAGAAATACTATTCAGTAAAAGTATAACAATAGTAGTAGAAGAACTAGTACTACTACTAGTAGTAGTAGTAGTCAGAGTACTTCTACCATCAGGTATATTTTTAATATGAGGATTAATATGAGGACAAACACACAACAAGAACAAATGACCTCAGAACTCTGGGTCCCATATACTCTTAGATTGGTCATATTCAGCCACCACAGAAAGACACAACCAGTAGTACTGGAAGGAAACATCAGGAGGCACCAGGTCTGCATCCACCACCACCACCAGCATCCTGTACCCACCACCACCACAACCACATTTCTTCTTATTTATCCAGGACAGTTGCATGATCAAAACAAGAAGAAGTACTAACAAAAACATCAATGTGGGTGAAGCCCCATGGTCTACCACCATCTGACCTTCCAAAGACACAACAAGGAAATGTCATATTGCCTACTATGCACTGGACTATCATGTACATCTTTGCACAGAGCCAACAGCCTTGATAATTCTCATTGCTCCTCTGGACTTACTAAAGAAACAAAAGGAAACTTTTTGTGTAGAATCCATGTGAACTTCAGTATCCCATTTTTGAACACAAATAAGTACCTTGACAAAAAAACATGTTACAGTATTTGTTTTTGAATAATGGGAGTTGTTACTACACTCCTCAAAGCAGTATTTGCAAGATTCCAAAGACTTAAGTTCACTCAATGTTGTCATTGTCATTAGACAAATAAATAGTCATCATTAATTGTTCCTAATACTCAAAATGAGTTTTTGCTGTAATTGACTTGATCATTCCAAGATGAAATAAAACCCACTTCCTCCTCCAAAAACTAAAAACGGAGTCATTCTTGTTGTTGTGTCAAGTCATGATTGTTGTCATTGCTGGTCATTTCAAGATTCAAGAGAACCAAGAAGTTGCTCCCAAGACTCAAGAATCAGTTAATGTTGTCATCAGTCATTCCAAAATGAAAGATAATCCATTGCCCTCATGAAGATCACTGGTGCTTGAATGTTCAATCATTATTATTATTGGTCATTCCAAAATTTTAGATAACCCAACAGTTACCCATTCTATGACTTTGCTGCTGGATATTCAGTTATTATTGTACTAATTGGTCATTCCAAGAGAAAAGAAAACCCAATTCCTCTCAAGACTTGCTATTACTAGTAGACAAAGAGCTATAGTCATGACCTGGGCAATCCCATCATTACACCCAAGGACAGCAATGGGGACACCTATGCCTATGGTTATGATGGGCATGATGCACTTACTGAGACTAGTAACAAAGATGCCCCTAATGCCCTGTTGGAAAAGTTTTGAGTCCTACAAGACATACTACCAGTTCCTTTCAAAAAAGGCTAGCAGTGATGCAAAGGCTAGCAGTGATGCATAGCATAGCATTGCCAATGCCAAAGCTGATGCCAAAGCCAAGAATACCACTGGCCTCTACAACAAGAACTTATTGATGGCTTCCAACCTTGTTGCTTCCAGGCTGACTGGCAAATGTGACAACTACCATACCAATGAGGAGTCATTATCATAGTTGCTCATTTCAAAATTAAACTCCTTATTTTTAGAAGATGAAAGAGAAGCCCAACCTCATAATGTGACAAATTCAGTCACAAGCCATACAATTGTCAAAACAGAAGTGCTAAAAACCCAAGTTGCTGTCACTCCTATAAGATCTGGTGCTCCTGTTTGTGTGACTCTGATTGTTCCTTGATCCCTTTATCATGTTCTGTTCTGGCAACATCAGTCTGCTTTGCTAACAAACTTTCAGTTTTCAGTGATTTTAAAGAAAAGTTTGAATCATCTCTTGCTGAAACTGACTTGTTTGAAGCTTGAGATTGCATATTTGTGGGAGCTGACATTCTATTGTCCAGCATGATGGTTTCTCCTAGAACAAAATATGCCTAAACCAACAAACATACAGATGCTTCTGCTTTTGCTTCCAGAAAGATTACTTTATCCAACTCTCAATATTTTTGGTGACACAGTCCCTTGGAACTAAAATAGTACTTGCTAGTAGTCTTTGTAAAAATTATTTTTATGACAAACAATTCTTTCTTATAGTTTAATTCTATTATTTATCATTTGTTACATTAAACATTTGCATGTTCTTTGCAGGAACAAATCACAGAAAAGCTAGTATGAGAAAGCAAAACAATCTCAAAACAATTTGCTTCACTATTGCAAACCCCAAAAAAATAATCAAAAGGGAGAACTTTGTTCAAAAAGTTTGTGCCATCTATGACACATTTATCAATCACAGAGTCTATGACACATTTATCAATCACAGAGAAGAAAGGCTCAATTCACTTCAAACATTGATGAGTGAATCTATAAAGCAATTTCTATTGTTTGAAAATGTTGAATGGATTGAGACTCCAGTTTCTGAAAATGTAAAGGCACARCTTTGTGAAGACTGTAGTACAAGTCCTACAAAAATAAGACTGAATAGAGAAAAAAGTRTCGTATAGTGTTGGCGCAGCAGTTATTCTGGCCAATTGAATTGTACATTAGGAATGCTCAATATACATACAAGTATACCAATCAATATTTATTGGATGCCCTACTCCCCCACCATGTTAGAAAGCTCTTTGAATTCTCTTTTTGACCATGTGCTTACCATACTTAAGCATCAGTTGGGAATAAAGATATAGCTCTTAAAGTGAGTTGAACCTCTCTTAATGCCCTTTGTGTTTTTTGTACTGTGCATCAATTTTGGGCCATCTAATTACCGTGTAATGACTCGTGGGATTAAAATTTGACTTGTACTAGGGCTACATCATGCACATGCAAGCAAAAACTATTTAGAAAACTATTTGGTTGCACAGATGTGGGGTTCAGTGCCAATTTTTAGTTAAAGTAGTAGTCATTACACAGAAATATAAGGGCCCAAAACATATGACTGGTGCGTACATTTGGGCGCCAACTCTATACAGTAAAACAAATAAAACCTCTTATCTGATAATTCACTCATTYCCTCATAATCTCCAAACAAGAAAATAAACACTCCAAGCACTCCAAAGCAAAATAGAAACCACCACACAAACAATCATATTTACTAATATAAATTACTACCATACTATCACCATGATGGATGATGAATTATGGATTATAATATCTTTCTTGAAAGAGTCCTTCCCAGGACAACAGCAGTGTTCTCAGTGGTGATGCTATTGGTTCTCTTGACAGTGTTCCTGATGACACTTACCTAGTAGTACTCTGATGTATCCTCTTGTGGTGAGATCCTGGAACTCTTTGACCATGACCTCTCTGATTCATATGGTCTGCAAAAAGATGAGCTAGACTATCTTTGTCAGGACTTGTTGATCTGTGTCTATCTACTGTCAATAAACATGTCACAGGTGAAGAACTTACCAATGCACACAATTCTTTGGAAGATTTCAAAGTTAAGCTAAAGTCATACTACTAATAGCCTGTGTGCTAACTTCTCAAGGTACAAGGAGGACATGAAGCAATCAATTTTGACAATTAAGAGTATCTGCTGGTCAGTAAAGGATCAGAACCTGTTGAAACAGGAGGAGGAATTGACAGCAATACCAACACAGCTTGAAAGTTGGGTAATGATGCAGAGGAATGGTCTCCTCCTACCCTCCTCTGTCCAGTGTACTTCACCTGGAGGTGGTGCAACCTCCCCCCAGGTTCTTTCTGTACAGCAAAGAAAGAAGAAGCTCCTCATGCATCTCAGCATTGCATTGATGAACAAAGTCATATGAAGAAAGATGCAATGGAAAGTATGAAGGAGTGAAGAGGAGGAACTATTCTTATTTTGTTTGTGTACTAGAGGAAGCAAAACAAGGGTATCCTGACTTATCAGTGATGAGATTGAGGAAGTTGCCAGGGACTGTTAGTACTAGTATAGAAATGCCAAGGAGGAATGGCTGGTGTTGCAAAAGTTGCCATGTTGCTGTATGCAAAGAGCATTGGAGTAACTTTAACCATCAGGTGTTGTGATGTGTTCTAAATGAATAAATATTGATATTGATATTCATATTTGTTAAAATATATTCTTTCAATATTTATAGTGACAAGGAAGAATGTTATAAGTAGAGTAGTGTAGTACTAGCAGTAGTAGCAGGAATAGCTAGCAAAAGAAAAAATATATTTTTTTCTA